TCGACCTGTAAAATGACAACTTCTCACGACTTGTGAAATCAAATAATCAATTTCAACAAATCGTCACGAGTTGCATTGGAAACTTAGATTCGGGTTACATGAGGTTACCACCAATTGTACTTGTATGGCCCGAGCTCCGCGAATTTCTCAACGAATCGTGAAATTCTAAATATGTATGTTCATTCCTCGCTCTTCAAAACAGACGTGATTTATTGAAAATATCAAAAATGGCACTTCAAACACTCATTAAAAGACTCCATAATAACATTATAGATTTCAAATATATTGATTTCTCGTTCTTCACTATAATTTTGCCGTATAGCTAAGTTGTGAAAATGAAAATAAATTCATAATATGAAACAGCGGCCTACCAACCAAACTGCCGATTTTCGTTGCTAGTCCGTCACCGTACGCCTCATCGGGTTATATATTAAATCAGTTATAAATGATATACTACATTAAAACGGAGTGCCTTTTGACTACGTAGTATCACAATGCCGCTCATTAATTAGGCTTGGGTTTTCAAAATCAGTTATAAAATTTCAAAATACTGTTGAACTCCGCTAACTCGAACTCCCAAGAGAAGCGAAAAGTTGTTCGAGTAAATTATTGTAAATATTGGGTCAAATCCAGGGGAACTTGGATTTAGTTCGAGTAACAGTTAGCGGAGAGTTCGATTTTAAGCGAGTTCGAGATAACGGTGTTCTACTGCATGAGCCGTCAGATTACTCCGTCATTCCGGGGGCGATGTGGTTAGCGCACTTGCCTTTCACTTCTGAAGTCGCAGGTTCAAATCTCAATGAGAATTTCTCAATATGACTCGAACCCAGTCCTCATGTGAAAAGAGTAAAAGTCAACGCTCTGCCGAAAGTCGTGGGTTTTCTCCGGGTACTCCGGTTTCCTCCCACAGGAAAAGTTGACAGGGTGGGTTGGGTACATCATCATCATCATCATCATGATCATCATCATCATGATCATCATCATCATCATCATCATCATCATCATCATCATCATCATCATCATCATTATCATTATCATTATTATATATTATTGTTATTATTATTATTATTATTATTATTATTATTATAATTGTCAATAAAAAAATATTATTATTATTATATTATTATTATTATTATTATTATTATTATTATTATTATTATTATTATTATTATTATTATTATTATTATTATTATTATTATTATTATTATTATTATATTATTATTATTATTATTAATGGGGAATAATGTCAAACTCGGATTGTTCCCTCTGCCTGAACCCTGAAACCCTTCTGCATGTGGTCGCGGGATGCCAGTCATACCTTCCACGATTTACTTGGAGACATGACTCCATTCTCAATTTTATCTCAAAAATATTCCAACCTGACCACAACTCCACTCTATTTGTTGACCTTCCTGGATACAAGAGCCCGTCAATAATAACCGGTGACACTTATCGCCCAGACCTGCTTCTTTCGATTTCAAATGATTGTCTGTACATACTCGAACTCTCTGTCGGATATGAATCCAATCTCCAAAACAACGTCGATCGCAAAAGGGAAAGATACAAGGATCTAATTACGCAGCAGAAAGACCATTTCAAAATTGTCAAATTTATTAATTTGTCTATTAGTGCCTTAGGTGTTTTCTCAAAAGAATGTAACACGTTTATGAAAATGTTGAACGAAGTTGGTCTTGATAAAAAACATCAGAACTTTTGTGTTAAGAAAATAATGTCCATCGCCATCAGAACAACGTACTATATATTTTGTTGTAGAAACAAGGATTGGACCGATCCGGACTTGATGAACATTTAAGAATGAGCTTTCTCTTAGTTTTATACCTGTAATATAGTTTTATCAATAATTAATAGTTCAAGTAGTCAATTATAAAATACCTTAATTAGTGAGATTTATAATTGTATATACATAAAATGTCAAAATAAAGTTTCCATTATTATTATTATTATTATTATTATTATTATTATTACTATTATTATTATTATTATTATTATTATTATTATTATTATTATTATTATTATCATTATTATTATTATTATTATTATTATTATTATTATTATTATTATTATTATTATTATTATTATTATTATTATTATTATTTGAAGTTATTACACTTGAAGTAACCACTCTAGGGTTTGTGTCGAAAGATATTGACAGATTTCGCAGATTATTACGAACACTTGAAATGAACGACGAACGTATTATTAAAAAATGTATGGAGGTAGCTCTGAGAGCAACATTCTACATTTACTGCAGAAGAAACAAGCCGTGGAATAATCCAGACTTACTGAATTTTTATTAGCTACTATTGATACAAAGTGTAGAGAATGGACCTATCTGTCTAACATAGTGAACTGTTTCTCTATTTTCCTGATTTAATTGAAAGTCTAATTATGTGATATATTTGTATAAATTATCATGTTATTAATAAAGATTTCTGTTGTTTAAAAAAAAATTATTATTATTATTATTATTATTATTATTATTATTATGGCGGCCACATGCTACACGTCAGGAAGAAACGTCTGTGTTTTATAAACGAAAATACGACTTTATACTATTTTGTTGTTGTTGAAATTCCTACACAAAATCTAGTTTGCTGTGTAAACGAGACCAATTCGAACAGATGAACTCAGAAAGGCAATAGTCTAAACGATTTTGTGAAACTCTATGTCAGCGATAGCAAGTCAATATGGCTAATTGAAGGCAATATAAACACAGGCGTAAATGGACAGATCAAATGAACGAGGATCTTTTGAGTTGCAAACGCGAGGCTGTGGCAATGACACAAATGGAACAACCACCATTGGATGGAAATAGCAAGAAAAAAGGCTATATTAAACTCATGAAGTGGACTTCAATGATCTGGTTTCTGCACTTCACTTGGTGGTATTAATATTTGAATGCTGGATTACAAACCCTAAGAACAGCATTCAAATATTAATACCACCAAGTGAAGTGCAGAAACCAGATCATTGAAGTCCACATTAAAGTCATGAAGGAGCTATGGGATGCGAAAGGATATAATGATTTTGGCTTCTCAAGCCAGAATTTGCGTGATCAAGCTGCAAGGCTGGAGAAATCTTTGGAGCTGGGGAACTCGAGAAACGGATCAAGAGATTATGTTGCTATAAACCAAAGCAATTTACCGGAGTGGAATAAGGACAATTTAACACGGGATTCGCAAACGCGAGAGGGCTCAAACGTTTCGATATGTCGGCGAAAGATACCGCCGTGATTAATGAATCGCAGTATACAAATCAAACGAATGAATTGCAAACAACAACCCGCCACGATTTGCATAATAGTCAACATGAAATTCCGGGAGCACTTGACAAGAACGAAGATAATGCAATTATCTCGGGCTGTCTTCCGGAGTATAATAATGTAAATAAACCACCTATGATTAATTGGAGGAAGCGAGGCGATGGACGAACAATAGTTATATCGACTTCAGACATTACAGATGTATATGATGAAATTACAACTTGGAAAAAGAATGTTTTTCTAGTGCCATACGGGAAAATAGGAAGGGATTTTATCGATCAAATAACGATGCATATAAACGACTGGAATAGCGGTTCGGAAAATCAACATGTTTCCTAAAAGCTGTATTTGTGCTTCTCGCCGTTGGGCTTCAAAAGCCAAACCCGAAGTCCAAGGCAAAGGACCATCAAGATGCCTTGTCAAAGCGACTTGCACTTTGGAAGGACGGTGAGATCAGCAAGCTAATACGTGAGGGACGAATCATACAAAGTCATATTGGAAAATTTAAAGGATCAAACCACCCCGATAAAGCTAAAGTCTTTGCTAAGCTTGTGCTAGAAGGTCAAATCAACTCAGCCCTTCGCTTCCTGAGTGAAACCTCAAATGGCGGCGTGTTAACGTTAACTGACGATGTACCCAGCCGGCAAATCGACGTCGATTCGACGTCGAAACGACGTCAGAGGATGACGTCGAATCGACGTCTGGAAATCGACGTCGTTTAGACGTTAGAATATCGACGTCGAAACGACGTTAGAATATCGACGTCGAAACGACGTCGAAAAAGGGTTGAAAACGCAAATGGAATCGACGTTGGGAAATCGACGTCGTTTCAACGTCTCAGAATCGACGTCGTTTCAACGTCTGGGAATCGACGTCAATTAGACGTTAGAATATCGACGTCGAAACGACGTCGAAAAAGGATTGAAAACGCATATGGAATCGACGTTAGAAAATCGACGTTTTTTCAGCGTTAGACAATCGACTTCGTATCAACGTTTAAAATCAGGTGAAAATGCATATCGATTCGTCGTCTAATTGTCAACGTCAACTCGATCAGTAATGTGTTTGACAATTATACGTGGAATCAATGTGCATTTTACCTGATTTCGGACGTCAATAGCACATCGATCAAAGTAAAAATTAACGAGCACTTGCCAAAATAGTTTAATGCAATATTTATTTGAAATAAATAATTAGAAATATGTACACATCACAACGCGTAGATAAGCTTTTATTAGTCCTCCTTTTTCTTTGCTTTACTTCTTTCCCCGCCTTTTCTATCTGGGGCATATACTTTAGAAATCTTTTTACGCTTTCGGCGACTTCGCTTTCATTACAATTAAAATTCTTTAACACGCTTTCTAAAACGACAATGCAAGTCGATCGATACATCAGTAAAATGTATAAGATCATAATGGTACGTAATAATTAAGGTGGATTCTTACAGTTTTTTATGTGAAGGGTTAATTATAACGGGTTTTGATTGCGTTAGACGTAGGTATTGGAACCAATCAGTATAAGCACTTCACGATCGGTGCCGTCTAAAAAACGGCATTGTATTATTTTAAACAATACTTTTAGAGTTAGAAAGTTTTCGTTTGAAATATTGCACTTTCCACATATAAACTTGGAATCAAAGGGTTTGAACGAAAAGTTTGATCGTTTAAATACGAAAGTTTTGAAGATCATTTGCAAGTTATCACACCTTTTTGTCTAGACACGAGTATTACTAGTAACAGATTTTCTCTTCAATGTTATTGGTTGAAACCATCAAAACAACGAAAATCTCCCATGCATGACAACTTTTCAAAGTATTATAAAACTCAAGATAAATTTATATTCCCAAACCTGTTATTATTTTAAACAAGGCAGTCGGTCTAAAGGCAGTCTTATCGCCATGCCCATCCATGTTCAGCGTAGACATAATTTCGTTTGTCATTAGTCTAAAAAATGAGAAACAATTTATAATCAATAACACATACAGAGAAACGTTGTAAATATATTGAGGATATACACGGTGGTGCAAACATATGAAGTTTTCCTTCGAGTGGTGAAAACAATAGTTTACGAATGAGCGCAGCGAAGTACAGCTTATACAGGCATAGCTTATATATAGTACGATCTGCAGACATGCGTGTTTCAGCGTCCAACGCCTCGTCACTGCAGCTTGGTATATGTAGTACCCTCGTATATATGTATACGTAAACTTGCCCTCACCAAACGAACGCGGTACAACACGGAAACACTAAGACCCCGTTCACACGAGACCGGACGAATTCCGGACCGTGCTCAAATTCGTCCGGTTCCACTTGTTCACACGGGAAAACGGTGCTCGAATTTGTTCGTTTTCTCGTGTGAACAAGTGGAACCGGACGAATTTAAGCACGGTCCGGAATTCGTCCGGTCTCGTGTGAACGGGGTCTAACATATCTAGACATGCGCAGAGTGTTATGGGGTCAGAATGCTCAAACAACCCCCCAATGGTTGTGGGCTTTGCATTATCGCTAATAGACGCCCATTAACTCCAAAGAGTGCTCAACAACACCGAAGGGGAAAAGCGTATATATACTGTATAAGAAAAAGCTAATATAAAACTATACCTGCTCATAACGTTGCGAACGTTGGCTTTAACCGTCGAACCACCTATTTTGGTAATTCTGGACACCTATAATAAGACCAAAACATAAAATTAATCATTTAAGACATTCAACAACCGTATGTAAACATGTATATACGTATTATAGTTTCATCTTCTTCTCATTATTATTACCACCATGTTCTTTTTCTCCACATCACGAAGATGCTCTTCCATCTTGCAAAATTCTTCCTTAGTTTTTAATTGCTCCAAATGAAATGCGGAATCTGCTGGTTCAAATGTTTTTCCAACTTGCTGCAAGCTGTCTCGGATTTCGGTTAGGAGATGAAGAACCCTTTTTTGAAAACCTGTGATAAAATGGAAGTAATCAAATTCCGTAGTTGACAAGTGTTAAAACTATTTAAGTATTTTCTCTATTAATACTTTCATGAGAATATTTCTAATTATAATAACGGATAGTAAACATTATTAAACATATGGACATTATTGAACTAAATAATACCAAACAACAAGAGTGTGAACTGGACTCGAAGTCCCATGTGAGACATGCACTATACCTTTAAAACTACAAACATACAGTACTATATAAACAGAAAGTAAACATGTCAATTGCTTGAAATTCACACTGGACTATAGGATTTCGAGTCCAGTTCGCACTCTTGCTGTTTTATTATTCAATGTTTACAATAATTTGATTTGAAACTTTGAAACAATAATTTGAAACCCTAATAAATAATTAAGCAATTACTTGGTTAAGAAGTTGTTAAATGATATAGTAGCTATTATGAAAAAATTAAAAAAACAAACTAAAAAGCTACAAGAGCGAGGTTTAACTTAATTGCTTTATATTTTGTCGTTCAGTTTAATAATCTGATTAATATATTATTTATTACTTCAGGATCGTACAATTAAACCTCACACGGTTAATATGTATAGTCAGTGCATGCTCAATGGGCAGAAAAGTAAACATCTGAAGAAGGGAGTGGGCTAGGAGGAGCACTTTCAACCTCACTTTGACTTGAATCAGAAGAATCAATAACTAAATCTAGTCCGTCAGAGTCAATATCAGATTGACCACTAATATCAGAGTGACCACTAATACCAGATTGATCACTAATGGTGGAATTCTGGGATTCAAACAAATTACTTTGGACAGGATGCAAAGAAACGCTTTCTTCGTCACTGTCATTTCCTAAAGCCAATGCATGTACTTCAGAAGAAAACTTTCTGTAGTTTCTCCATTATGCCATGGATTTTGTGCTAAAAATTAAAATGTATTTTGTCTAACAGTAAGCATAGATAATTCAGAACCAGCAACTGGGACATATACATGCATTTTAAACAAGAATAGAAATAACAATGCAAATATCAACCATTGATCAATACTAAAGTTCCGAAATTAGTTCCGAGACCTCTGAAATTAATATATTTAAAGTCAAGTTTAGGCTGTGTATTTATCACTATTTGACTTTTCCATATAAATTCAAAGTAAAATACTAGCAGATAGTTTTGCTAACTCATTTACTGGCAGTAGTGCCAATTGCAATTGAGCGTTCAACATTGTTTGATTGTTTCATCTTTCTTGATTTGCACACACACACACAATTATTATAAATCCTTTATCACAAAGTGAGATATTACTAGTACCAATACTCAATTAATGTAATTTCTCATAAAAGAAGGGAGAGGGGGCTTTACAGCCTATATACATGTTCACATGAAATGTGTTCTGCAGAAAAAGCCTCATGCCTACCTGGCGTGCAAACACCAAGTTTTTTTTAATTCAAGCTTATATTGATATTTATAAGTGGAAAAACGTAGTGAAAAATCATAATTAGTGCAAACATTTAGCATATAAAAGTCACAATTCAAGAAAAATTGTGGCTGCAGACGACTACCAAGATCAAAAACAAGTTTGCCTACTAGTCACTAAAAGTCAAGTATTATCGCCAGACTGTACACGCTGAGGTGGCTCCGTTAAATTCAAAACGACTGACTTATATTATATACAGGTATATCGCCATTTTAAAATCTCCAGATTTAGCATTTTAAAAGTTGGCAGGTCTGATATATAATATATCAGCCTAGTCCCAGGCTCTCTCTCTCTATTCGCTGCTTCGATATATTTAAATAAGTCTTAAAAGTTTTATGCCTGGGTGTGCTGTGCGGAACGCTTCAGCGAGAGAGCCTAGCAGATTTCGGTAAAATGGTCCCTGATTTCAAAAAAGTGGTCCCTGGCCTGGTTACCAAGCATACCTCATTTGTAAATGGAAAATGCTATGGAAATTTCCTTTGCATTTATAATTAAATAATTAGTTTTGCTCTAATGCTGTCGGAACAATGAAATAGGCTACGTTTCGCTGCCATACGGTCAGAATGGAATAACAGGCTAAATATGACTCGTGTTTACTAAAATATATAGCCATATTAAATGCTATCTAGAAGCTTGAAAATTATGCCGAGTCTCCGACTAAAAATGTTTTGACAACACCGTCATGTCAGGCAAATATTTCCAATAACCTCAGCAATTTAAACCTGTCAAGTAGAAAGCGTAGTTGTGTATACCAGTATGGTCTAGTGTTGATCACAACTTGCGAGCATATAAATAACATCAACGATTGCTCAAACTCGGTATCGTAAATTTGTATATAAATTTTTTTAGTTGAGCACATTTTTAATATGGTTTGATTTGGTTATGTAGACATCGAACATGCACATGATAAACGAACATTGTCGTATTTATAATTAAAAGGTTACTTGTATATATAAATTTTCCGCCATATTAAAAATACTGAAATCTGCTAGGCGTTCTGAAGCACCTTGAGCGGTGACGTCACACCTAGATCCCAGTCTCGTACTACATCCACTTTTTTCTCGCGCTTGCTTCAGAACGACTGGGACTAGGCTGATAATATATCACTGCTTTACTGCCACCTATGATTAGGCCATTTCAATTATTACCCGCACCCCCTCAACGGATGAGCTGACTGATTCCTACTCAATACTGGTCCTAAATTAATTGGCAGTATAGTACAGTATAGACTTTATTTCACGAGGGTAACACTTGACAGTATAAGTAAAAAAAACTACTGATAAATTTGTGGCCCTCAAAATTGAGTTGAAAATAATCATGAATTGAAAGCGTGAAACGCTGATTCCCAAGGGTAGCATTTTACAAATTATCATTATATATATGAGTTTCTATTAAATTCTATAATGACTATAAATGGTCATTTAGGTGCCAGTTTCCCCAAAGCGCATCCATGAAATGAGGGGAAGCGACTACATCAACATTTTATACAGATATAAATTAGTATAAATATACAGCCAATTTGGCTATTAAAAGCATTGATAAAACGTTTGTTTCCTCTATAATGACCGTATATTATTCGCTAATATTTATAGCACACAGAGGAGCAGATATTAAATAACATATTTGAGCGCACTTAGCAAAGCAAACAATAAAACATGTGTTTGTATATGTCATGGCCAAGCTGGAAAATTGTTCACTAAAATTTGCTTAGCTTTAGCTTTCCCCAGTAAAACAGCAGGAGCACAGTAAAAACAGCGAGGCCTATTATTTAATAATAATCGGTCGAATATACCAAATTGACAAAAAAATATCTAAGTTACATTCACAAATAATTTGGAACGCGCGGCAGCAATTAATATGAGTAAACACAATAAAATTTTATAAATAAAACTTACCGTTTGATAGCGTAAACGTTGTCTTTTCTTTTCACCTCTCTTCACTTTAAAATGAGATACACAATATCTCCACAAATCACTTTTAAAAATACTTTTAAAATGCTTTGATTGCTTTGAAATTTGAATAGATTTGCGAATTGCGATTGCTCCTACTTTCACAGCGTAATACACATGACATATTAATATGATACATCATGCTAATCATGGTAGCTATGAGACGCGAGCTTCCGGTTTATATTCTGACTTACTATTGGTCCACAAAGGAGCGAACTTCTGCGTAGACAACAGCAGTAGACGGCTCTCATTGGTTAAGCGTGATCCATGACGAAGCTCCAGTATAATCTGATTTGTGGACCCAATTTGAGCAAGTAACAGAGGCCCCGCGCTTTTTTAATATGAGGGGCCTTGCAAATTTTTGGGGGCTTTTTTTCACGCGGTGTCACTTTGTCATGTTTACGTAAATTTTTAAATAAATTCATGTTTACGTAAATTTTTAAAATACGTAATTTTTCGCAAATTTGCAAGCCCCGCTCTGGCCTACGCGTTTATTCCTCACTAACTTCTTGACAAAGGGCCTTCGCTCGAAACGTCGAAGAATTTATTTACTATCCTGCCCCCCCCCCTTAGCCTGCATCGCAGACTATTTATATTGGGTTCATATATAGTCTGCTAATCAGCGACAGAAAGCTTGTATGGTCACGTGGATTTCCCGAGAAATCGTGGGACGCATTCTGATTGGTCGGCTTATAATTATGCCAAATTAATTAAAATTTCAGAATATTTGATTTTCCACTTGAAAAAAACAGCATACAATACGGATTGCCTCTGAAAAATGCTCTCCTTCAAGCAAGGATGGTTCAATGAACGACGCCATGTTGTTTGTAAAACTTTTGAAATATGATCAAATATTCTGAAATTTTAATTAATTTGGCATAATTATAAGCCGACCAATCAGAATGCGTCCCACGATTTCTCGGGAAATCCACGTGACCATACAAGCTTTCTGTCGCTGATTAGCAGACTATATATGAACCCAATATAAATAGTCTGCGATGCAGGCTAGCCCCCCCCTCAGAAGATTAGAATTGGCCGCCCATATCATTATAAACAAGTATAAAACTGCCAGAATATTTTTGTTTAATTAAACTTGTAGAAACATGAGTGTCGCTGGACGACTTTCTGAAAGGTTTGAAAGTTGCTATACAATAGATAACAATTAAGTGTTTTGAGTAGTTTTGACATCGATCGTAGTACAGAGGTTGGGTGGGACAGTCCACGCACTGGCCACGCGATCATGCCGCAGACTACTGTACATAGGGAGCCTCCTTAATACTGATACTAGTAATCAAAATGACGGTACGTACGATAGCACGTCGTAAAACATGACGTCGAAACGACGTTGATTCTTCGACGTCGATGACACGTCGTAAAATATAACGTCGAAACGACGTTGATTCTTCGACGTCGATGACACGTCGTAAAATATTACGTCGAAACGACGTTGCTTCTTCGACGTCGATGACACGTCGTAAAATATGACGTCGAAACGACGTTGCTTCTTCGACGTCGATGACACGTCGTAAAATATGACGTCGAAACGACGTTGATTTTTCGACGTCGATGACACGTCGTAAAATATGACGTCGAAACAACGTGGTTATTTTCGACGTTGTTAACACATCATCGAAACGACGTCGAAATGACGTTGTTTTTCCAACGTTGTCAACACGTCGTCAAAATGACGTCGAAACGACGTTGATATTTGGTCGATCGACGTACCGACCATATTTCAACCAAATTTCGACGTCGAAACGACGTCGTGAGCCCACTGGGTAATGACGCAATTAAAACAGAAACATCCTGAGCCACAACCAGCAAAACTCGGATCGGTATTATTTGGCCCGCTCAACGACGAGATACCGGAATCTGTTTACTCACAGATCAATGGAGAGATGTTTAGACAAGCCGCTTTGAGAACAAAGAGATCCGGAGGCCCGTCTGGTGTCGATGCTAACGGCCTTAGAAGAATGTTGGCATGTAAATCCTTTAAACAATCATCTACAGGACTGTGCTAAGCTATAGCCAGAATGACCAAGACTTTGTGCACACAATATATCGATCCTACCACTATTGAAGCATTGATTGCTAGTCGTTTAATTCCCCTAGACAAAGGCGAAGGTGCGGTAAGACCTATCGGAGTAGGAGAGGTAATAAGGAGGATAAGTGCAAAATGTGTTATGAGCTTTGCAAAGAAGGATGTAGTGGAAGCAAGTGGATCGTTACAATTATGCGCTGGGCAAAAGTCTGGAAGTGAGGCTGCAATACATGCAATGAACACCCTGTTTGAAGCTGATGACATTGATGCCGTTTTACTTATCGATGCTTCCAATGCATTCAATGCACTCAACAGAACTGTGGCTCTGCATAACATCGGTGTGTTATGTCCGATAATCGCTGCCTACGCTATAAACACCTACAGACAGCCAGCTCGGCTGTTTATTGTTGGCGGCAAAGAGATTGTGTCAGCAGAAGGAACTACACAAGGAGATCCTTTGGCAATGGCCTTTTATGCGATAAGTACCCTGCCTTTGATCACGAGTCTACAGGCCGCATCTACCGTGAAGCAGTGTTGGTTCGCAGACGATGCGAGTGGAGCTGCTCGTGTGACACAAATCAAAGATTGGTGGGATGCATTGAATACTCTCGGTCCAAACTTGGGATATTTTCCGAAAGACGAGAAATGCTGGATTATTGTTAAGCCAGAAAAGGAAGAAAGTGTGAGAGAAGTCTTCCATGGAACGGATATCAATGTAACAGTGCATGGGCAGAAACATCTGGGAGCAGCGCTAGGTTCACGAGAGTATCTGGAGGAATATGTTAATGAGAAGGTCTCTAATTGGGTCAACGAAGTGACAGAATTAGCCAAATTTGCACTGTCCCAACCACAAGCGTCCTATGCCGCATATACATTTGGTTTGAAACATCGTTGGACCTACTTCCTAAGAACCCTGCCAGACATCCAGGACCTACTAGAGCCACTCGAAAAGGCAATATCGCAGATTGTCATCCCCGCTATCACAGATCACCAGTGCAGTCCACTCGATCGGGACACTCTAGCACTCCCAGCACGTCTGGGTGGCCTGGGCTTGGAAAATCCAAGTCATGAGGCAGAACGTCAGTATGTGTCGTCAAAAAGAGTGACAGCACCCCTTGTTGAACAGATTGTAGCGCAGTTCCATCAGCTACCCGATGAGTCGCGTATAAAATCAGCGCAACAAGCCGTTAGAAAAGAAAAAGTGCAAGAGTGGGAGGAGAGGGCAATAATAATAATAATAATTTAATAAAATACCGATTTGTAACCTATTAGGTTAAATTACATCAGTAAAAAGTCTCATTATACT